AAAAACTGGTTCTTAAGTCACCTTTATTCATCAGGACCATTGAGAGAACAGAGAACTCAGTGTTTGTTGCCATAGGGACCCACAGAATCATGCCATGTGGCTACTTTTGCTTAGAATGGGTGCTGGCCTGATATGCTTCAACTACATCCACCTGTCCTCCTGATTCTACCCTCTGGAGATACCGAAATATGGCCCTGGAGCACATTTTCTGAGTCCTTCGTTGTGTTGTGACTTTGAGTGGGAATGTCCCTTACAACAGTCAAGGTACCTTTGCGTGGAGGTTTAAGACAGCAGAACACTCCTGCTTCACTGAGGCTGTCTTCTGGTTTGACGGCAGGCAGCATTTTGCCCTAATTCATTATTCATTGTCCCACCCTGGGGCTACCTACAGATTGTTCCTGCTCAGATGTAGAACGACATGTTAGTACGAACATATATTAATGATGATGACATTACAGAAGAGGAATGTTTCTTGCTGCAGGATCAACAATGTTCTTGAAATGCTCCAGATGGCAAAACTCCACCCTTTCTTCACATGCAAGCAGGGGCCTCATTTGGTTAATTTTTTGGCAACAAGATATAATTACAACTTTAGAATGTGCGTTCTAGTATCAGCTACTATAACGAGTTATGAATGATCAGATACAACTAGCCTGTAAGGAGAGGTTGGTTCACGTGCTCAAGTGACTCTACCAGCATCTGGGCTACAAAGATCGGTGATTTGCCCAGGATTGAAGCATTGACATCTGGTTCTTGAACTCTTTTCCAAATTGTGGTCGATCTTATTCCTACAGAATGGCAACCCTTAAAGATGCATTCTGCTAGTGAATATGAGATTAGCCTAGAATTGATGTAAAATTTACACTGTAATTGTGGTCTAGCAGAAAACTAGTCTATTCTCTTTGAACCATTGTTTAGGATACCCTTCTGCTATTTTAATTAACTTTTAGACTTTGCTACACTGATGGAAACGAAAAAAAAAAGAAGTGTGATAGGGAGAAAAAGACAGAAACATAAAAAATAAAAATCACATTTATTGAAACAAAAATATACACACAATGTACAATGAATATGGTTTACACGGAACAACAAAATAAAATGATATTTCTTCAAATGCCAGTATAACATGATCTAACCTATCTGTGCCCCATTTCTTAGGAATACATATTATTGGTTCATCTAGAATATGTACTTAACATAAAAAGAAAACAAATGCTAACATTTCAGATAAGTACCACAAGAATCTGAAAATTAGATGTTAGGTTAAACAAAATAATAAAATATTCACACGACAAGTATATGTGTACAAAGAACACGCTTGCGCAGGAAAATGGGAGTGTCTCTCCACTTACACACCTGTGGAGCCTACCTTTGAAAAGTTTTAAAGTCCTTTGACACGAAATATTTTTTAAATATGAACAGTGATATAAAACCATCACAGGACCCATAGAGATGAGAAAGCAATCTCGCCAATATGGGAGTCAGTACTGCCTGCCAGACGATGAAACTGTACCATGTGATCACTAAAGATGGACTGTTAGATTATGCCCTTTTGTGACCATAGAGTAATTTCAATGATTTTAGGAAGCTCGTGAATATATTCACACTATGAGTAGGGAAGTGCACAGAGAGTTCATCTTAAAGAACTCGATTTATTAAAGATAAACAAGAGGGCACCTGGGTGGCTCAGTTGGTTAAGCGACTGCCTTCAGCTCAGGTCATGATCCTGGAGTCCCGGGATCGAGTCCCACATCGGGCTCTCTGCTCAGCAGGGAGCCTGCTTCTCCCTCTGACCTTTCTCTCTCTCTCATTCTCTCTCTCAAATAAATAAAATCTTTAAAAAAAAAATATTTAAAGATAAACAAGATCTGTCTTATCAGGCAACATTGCTTGTGTTAGGTCTTCTCTCTCCTGATATTCACTCTGGGTAGTATACTTCATCGTGAGCCATGTTTTCCTTTGTTGATTTATAATTTCGAATGTTCACATAATCTATGATACTCAAGCTGAGGACAGCTAATTGCACGTACAATTTATTCTTTTGGCTAATATTACCTTACAATTTTTTTTCCTACCTCCTTGTTACTAGTAGTCAGATAGGTGTTGTTTCTTTGACATCAGAAATGCTTTAGACTCTCTTACCTGCTTAGAAATAAAATTCAAAGACTGATTAATGCGCACCATGGCTCAGAAGGTAAAAATCCAAATTTCCATACCTTAACTTTATACCTAATTGGCCCACAATATTTTATCTAAACATTGATTTTATTTTCCTGTTCTTAATGACAGTTTTGCTATCGGTAGCATCTGTTTGGGTAGAAAGTTCTAACTTAAAACTGCCAAAGGATATAATATATTGGGACTTTCTTTGCAAAGCAGTAAAACATAAATATGGGGAAAAAAGCATAGCTTCTGCAGACTGCAGCTGAGCTAAATGAATGTCAGTTCACACTAAAATTGTCAATCAACCACACAACTCTCGGCAAATCATTCTCTTCGGTGGTGCATAATTTGTAAAGCCTCCAGCTATTAGGGATGCTTTGTGTTCAACACACTAGCTTCCCTCTGTAACTGCTGATCAGTTTTTCTCAAGCCAGTTTCTTAAATCTGTGATAAACGTTAATTTATTTCCTAAAGATTACAAAAGGTGCCCTTGCACATTGAATTAGACAACTGATAGGCCATCCTGCTTGGAAATCAAACATCTAAAATGTCTGTGGTGTTTTAGCATACTGCCGGAGTTTAATTTGCTTAATCCAACAGTGTGGGTTTCAACTGAACTATACTTACTAGAATCTGGACACAGTGATATGTTACTGTTTTTTCTGCTTTTAGCAAATGCTAAAATTATAAAGTTAAAAATTTGTACTGAAGCACATTTTCAGTGATACTCTAATTAGGCTAACATTTCTCTGAATCTAGCCCACAGTTGTTAAATTGCTTACACTAAGGCTGCCTTGTTAATATTTCCCTTGCAGAACATCGAGAGAGATACATTTTTAAATGCAACTGTATGATTATATAATTTAATCATGAATAACATATAAACACCAAATATTTCTTAGAGTTCAATAGGTGTCTTTAGAAAGGGGAAATCCAAAACAAAATTGTGGTCATCTGAAGATGCCTGATTGCACTTAATACCATATTAATAATTTTATAATGCTTCCAATTATTTGTTATTTGCTGGAGAAAAAAGTCATGGTAGCATTCGGTTGTGTGCTGGTAAATGTTTAACAACTAGCTTTCCAGGAATTAAAAGTCCCAGTTTGCAGCACTGGGTAATTTCTGCATGTAAATACTCCCACTGTAGTCAATTTCAAGCTACCCACATGGTGTTCCTGGGTGTGGAGTTAGGAAGAGATGCAGAGTAGCACATGATGATACAGTGTTTCCACTGTGCAGAGACAGTGGACATAAATAATCTCAGAAGCACAAGTAAAGAGTAAAATGAAGGAAAATAATTAGGAGGTGGTAAGTTTTGATTATTATCTTTGTTTTTAATAAAATTCATTCAATTGCTTTTGATAACTTAGTATCTCATGATGGTGTATTTAACAACTGGCTTACAAAATTCCTAAAAATTTAATGATCAGCTCTCTTGAGTCTGCATAGTCAGTTCTTGTGCACCACTGGTATCCTTTCTCCTTGGCATGTATCATACTTTACATAAGGAGGGGCTTGATTTGTTGGGAAGGAAAGCATTACTCCATACAGATCTTTTTTCTTTTCCACACTGAGTCTTATTTTATGCAAAATACCATACGTAGTTGAGGAGAAAAAAAAATAGGGAAGTATCTTCCATCCAGATGCTGGGTTTTAAGACTTCACAGTTTTTCAGAAACAACAACAACAACAACAGGGATTTGTCTTATAAAGTGAGAACTGGAGGTTAGTCACATGGTATGCTGCTCTAATTACTTGGTCATTTTAGCACAATTTGTCAGCAGGATCAAATGGTGGCTCTGACTCACTGGATTACTGGACTGACTGAACACCAAAGGACTGTTTTGGCAGGATATAAACAAAATCCAAGACAATATTTACAAAGGAAAAACAAAACAAAACACCACACGAGAAATTAATGAATGCATCCAAATGTGGGTCTGCTTCAACCAAATATTTGAAACTTTTATGTTCAGCTGTTTCGTGGAACATTTTCAGGCTCTGGGTCTTTTGCCACTGGGTCAAACATAATCAAGATTTCACCTTCCCTTGTTTTTAAATATGTTTTCAGTGTATGTTTTAAACAAAAAAAGAGAGAGAGGAAAGCATGATGAGGCTGTGTTTGTACAAAGGAGATTTTAGAACTTTTTAACATTTGCTTTTTGATTTAGAAAACTGTAATAACTTAAGAAATAGTGAAGTGGATTTCCAATGCTACTTGGAATAGCTCTCAGGAAAGGAGCAGTATTGCTGTTGGTATGAAACATGAATTCTCTTGGTTAAATCCACTTCTAACAGTATGCACAGATACAGGCTTTGTATAGGGAAAGGCAGATGACCCTGCTAATAATAAAAGAAAACCTCTATGCATTTGTATTACAGTAAGCTCTGCCTTTGGGTGAGACTTCTCTATCAGTACTTATTAAAGAAGAAAAGAAATATCTTTGGGATATCTTCCCCAAAGAGAAGACCCTACTTATTGGCTTTCTAGTTAATAAATATTTTTTCAATATTTGAGTCAAGACTTTTCATTTTTAAAAATATAAACAAAAATGACTGTTTATAAGAGTATTTACAGGATGATACATTTTAATTTAAGGTGTCTTGGAACACGGACCACTCTTTGATATACTCAATGAGGCTTCATTGTTACTCAAGGAAACCTCTGTCATCCCAAACCTCTTTACCTTAAATCCAGTGGGATCATGGAAATAACCACAAATCCTACTATTTTCAAATAAAATTGAGTAATTCAAAAATTATATTTAAATCACTGAAATGGAGAAGGAAGCATAAGGGAGAACACCACGAAACTTTGTCTGTAAATAGATCTATAGTACACTGCATCTTTTTATTAAAAAACCTGTGAACTGTTGATGGCCTCAAATATAGTGCCCACAAGTCAGTAGCTAAAATAATGGATTGAGAATTCTAGTAGTAAAAGCCCCAAAAGGTTATCTAAAATTTGTAGTAATCTGAAAAACCCAACATGAACCTAGAGATCTGTTTGAAGTCCTTAGTTCAACATACATCTTAGCCAAGAAGCTGTCACACTAGCTTGGAAAGCCTCATAATATCATCCACTGAATGTGGTCACAGCCAGGAGATGTCTATGTAACAGCCCTCCAGCATTTCCAAGGGGAGATTCATGCTCTGGCTAGCACACTCTTCCAATGAGTGAGGAAAAAGAATAAACTCTTAACATCTGGAGAAAACAGGTTTCATTTATTCAGACCATTATACTCCAAGGTTCAATTCTGGCAACAAATGCCAATTTCTATTTAACGAACTAGCATTCTCCCACAATTTTCATGTATTTTTAGCATGGCAATTTGGAGACTAGACAAGCCACAGGTTAGGAAGTTGAGAAGAGATTGTAATCATGGCTCTAAAATTACCTAGCTGGATAACTGGGGTGCATATCTTCTTGTGCTTTAATTTACCTGTTTATAATGACCTTATACAAGATGATCTCTAAAGCAATTTCTAATTTGGAATTTTGGAAAACCTATGGTGCGATTTCCCTGAGAATAAATTTCAAATTCAGGTTAACAGAAATAACTGTTTCAGTTTATCACTAGTTATGGTTGCATAGGTCTTAAAATGTTTATTCACACATAGTAATCTATGCCAGACAATGCATACTTCCACCCTCTATATTCTGTAGCAAGAGTACTACTGGAAAGCATCATAAGGATAGTTTATTGACTTTTATGAACTTGGCTACATAAAGTTCAGGCTGGTAGGGATTTTCAGGTTTGACATCAGCAGGCTGATCATCTTTCATTTCCTTGCAGTTGCTGTTCCTAGCGGTGTTTTTTCCTACTATTCTATTCAGCTTTCTCTATCACCACTTGTCATGGGGCCACACGACACGAGTCAGAGTTTTGAAAAGATACCACGTTATGGAAAAGTCTCTTCACCGTGTTGCTAACACTGTCATCTACCTGTTCGGGAGCACTGGTCTCATCTGGCCTGGAGGACCTAAGTCTTTACAAGCACACCGGCAACCCGCTTCCACAGTCAAGATCATGCCTTGATGCTACCGAATTTTAATTCACTGGAAAAGTATTTTCCGAATCCCACACATGGGCTTTAAGGTTACACGTGAGTATGGCTGTGAAGTAACATGTCTGAGTCTCCCTCCCCTGTCCCCTCTCGTCTTCCCTTTGGAGGTCGAACGCCCCTCTCTGAGTCACCTGTCTTCCTCCTGTGGCAACCTACGTTTCCTCAGAATGCCTCCGGCTGAAGGACTCCATGAATGAAATGCACCCGTTCTGAGCTGATCGCAGCCAGCGAGGGGCAAAGCGTTGAAGCTGAGACCTAGAATCACAATGTTACTTAAGATATTTTTTAATGGATTTCATTCAGAGTAATATGCTAATACCTAATCCAGATAATGCCTAGATTTGGGCAAACATCCCTGATCACCTCCCTCCACAAATTTGTGACAATAAAAAAGTTAAAAGGGTGGAGATTATCCGACTGCAGCGTGTTTGTGTTCCTGCTTATTTACGTGTCGGTAAAGTTAGGTGTCAGTTTTTCCATAAGTCCCCTCTGGAGGTCGGTACTGCTTGGGGAAAGCCATCAGCTGTAGCATGTTGAAAGCATACTTTCTGCATTTGACATTCTTCAGTACATTCTCTATGCGGCATCCTTCTCTGGTGAAAGGGGAAAAAGTACAACTTCATGAAACACAGAATAAATAAATATGCTTTATTTGTTCAATGCAGAGTTGCAGCAACAGTCCAAGTAAAAATAACAAAGATTCAACTCTACATTTTTTTTTTTCACAAATGATGATACATCTTACAAAATTAAATCCTAGGCCAGGCCCAATACCGTTATTGCCCTCGGAAAGAGATGATTCAAGTCTCTTTGCTCTTAACAGATATTTAAGGTTTAATAAACTCTTTAAATATAATTTGCTCCACAATACAGCTTCACTTTAGTTTCATAAATATATCTGCCTTTTTTTATAACTTTGCCACAAATTAACTTCTCAGTCTCTTTTAAAACACATTAAAATCTACATGTAGCCCTAAGGATGCAGGTTCTAGGAATAAGGCATTTAATTGATTAAGTCTGGCCCTATAGATTTTTAAAGGAAAATTTCATCTCTATTTTACTTCATTATTTTAGCTGTGCAACGAAGAGAAGAATGGCTTTCCGAACAGCCCGGTCCAAGTCTCCGCTTTATAAAGGAAGGGGGCTTGTGCAGACAGTACAAAAGTCACAGGTGCTGAAAATGGCGCATAAGACACAAACAAGACTTTGTTAAAAAGAATAGAAAAGTATTCTGAGAGCCAAATCAACCCAAACAATAGTTACAAACAGGTTAACTTAATTACAAAACGTAAATAGCCATTCTCTCCATAAAGTTACTTGACAGAAAAGGGTCAACTGAAGCCAAGAACTAACATAACTCACAGGTTAAGGAATCAAACAGAAGGTTCTATCAGCTGATGACAACAATGATATTAGCACAGTGGAAATAAAGTCTGGAACCTCCCACATCTCTAAGACTTGTCTCAGGGTTTCAGTGCACTGTGCCAATTCATTCTTAATTGTTTTTGATAAATTGAATGGGAAGAGAAACGGGAGGTGCAGAACTTCAAGCTTTCAGGATTCTGTTCTTTGTCTTACTCCAAAGACAGTAATTTAAAAATTCTTTTGAGCTAGTTAACAGTGGGAAACACTTTTCCATGAACAAAAGAGCAAAATAATTCCCTTGATGCATAGTACTTCTTTTTGTAGATTTTAGGAAAAACAAACAAAACACTTACAGTTCAAACATTTGGTTTTTTTCTAAATTCTGTGAATCTGAAAATGTAGAAATATTACAGCATCGCCCCCACCCGTGCCCCGTAATTTAAAGTCCATTGTCATTTGTAGAAAAGAAAGGAATACAACATAAAACTTATTGGTATTTGGCTAATAGTAATGCAAGACTTAAAATAAGCCACACAACTAGCAGGTGTGAGCTGACAAGCAGCAAGGCGACAGGATAGAAGTGTCGAGAAGTTGGCTTGTTATCAGTGAGACAGCCTGTTTCGGGATCATCGGATTCATTCAGTGCTCCCTGGGTTTGTCTGCTGTTAAACAGGGGGAGGGGGAAGTCAGGGGAGAAAAGAAAATAGTATAGCATTCACACAGGAAAGAAACTCAACCTTAAATATCCTGAAATACAACACATTATGTTATATAATACAGCTGTTTCGGATGGAGTTTTTATGCTAAACAGCCCCAAATGCATCCTGTGCATTTTTTTCTTCCTGTACTACACTGACAAATGCATTTGAAAAAATAAGATTCCTTTTGCTTTATGTGCAAGAAGGAAGAGAGAGACACTAAGATGATATTCACGTGGGTCGAACGTGTACGTACCAGGAAGAATCAATCACGTAAGAAGCATAACATCACCAATCAACAAGACTACATGAATAAAACTAAAATATGGATCAGGCCGTAAAAAATGATCTGATAAATACCTCTTCGGAAAATGAGATGAGAAACACAGTATGTAGTGAAGCAAACGGACATGCCTGGCACACTGAAACACACCATCTATTGTTACTATACCTACATAATGCATTTAAAGTTATACAAATGATCTATGGAAATGGTTTGGTATTTAAAATGAATGAAACATCTGACATGTCATCCTTGCCAGCCATATGATTCGTTGAACAAAACTCGACTCAGCACCCTTCTGTTAGTTCAGCTCATACACTATGTTTTCTGCTGCTCATCTTACTTAGATGAGGCCAAGTCTATCTCCAAGGGACTCCTGATCTCAAAAGATACCGTATTTGCAGAGTGACTCTTCGGGAAAGAAAAGATCTTTCTGTGTGAGTGAAAAATGGACGTTTGTAATTGGGCTTAAAAGCAGCTCCAATTGTGGCACGTCTGAAATCTGCCATACTTATATAAGTCGAAAATAAAAGTTCTATGTTATATTTCATCAGTATTCAGAGTTTTCAGAATTTCAATCACACTCAGTTGTCAAGGGGTGGTTTGATCTTTATGAGCTCCTCCAGGTTCTGAAGCAGAAAACTGGTTGTCACTCAGTCTTAAGAAGAGTGCCATGGGAACAAGCCTCTGAGCTTCCATAGCCCCCTTTCAACCGGTTGCAGCCCCTGAAAACCTCTTACACAGACATTCTTGATGAGGCATTTGACCACATCACTGGCCAGCAGTGGTCATAATTACTTCGAACATCTATCTGACTTAGTTTAAAGCATCCAATCAATCATGTTGTGCTGTGCTCTGGTGTTTCCTTGTTCTTTGGTAAGACCTAAGGACTGTGGAGCCAGTGACAAAGTGAAATAGCAGCTTCTCTGAATAAAACAAATGGTTTATTGGGCAAAAGGAGAGTTATTCTGGACTTGCATAATTCCTATTGTCAATTGTGTGAGCGAGCTGGTTACTTGTTCAACATTCTGCGGCACTTAGGTAGGAAATACGCGGTAGGTTTTAAAGGATTGATATTTTTGTGATTAAGAAAAGCTTCCTTGCCCAATATTATTTCTCTAGTATCACTACCATTCCCTCCTGTCCGGTTTTAAGATGAGAGTTATCTGTAGCAAATCTTAATTTCGTTGAAAGCTTTTTGCCTCTCCGATCTTCCTCGTTAGGAGAGAAGTATAGTCTCCTAAATCACCTCTCTCTCATCCATCAATCATATTATAAATATTATATTCTGATTACAAATTTAGGTTAAATATTAAGCACAATCTATCAATATAATAGTATAGAAATACTCTCTCCCACTGGGGCCACCTGTAGATAGGCTCTGGCTGAGGGGTACCCTAGTGGCCAAAAAGTAAGTTGAAAGGATTTTGTGACAGTCCTTAATGCAAATACAGGGGACTAATTTATACTAGATTTTTTTTTTAAAACAACTGCCAGAGCACATTTCAAATTTTCCAGTCTGTTTGCTGAATATGCCTAAGAAGTGAAAATTACTAAATTAAAAGGTTGTGGTTTTTTTGTTTTGGTTTGTTTCTGGAAGGATAGTTTTATAATTGAATTACTTTATTGTTTACTGACTTCCTTCTCTGGAGATTAGAATAATACATTAAAAATGCCTCACACTTAATAATTCCATTATTCAGCTCGAATTGAAAGCCACGTGGCCGAGGGGGTAGCACAGAACTTAAGGCTCTAGGCCCCGGACTATGTTGCACTGTGTGCACGGGTGCTCTTCCTTCTTTCTACTAAGAATAGCACAAATGGTCATTTCCTTGTAACCACAAATGAATTTTTAAGCACTCTGCAAGTGTAAACTGCAAAGGATGTGTTAAGTAATGATATTAGTAATTGCCTCACCAGCAGATTATGAAAAAATAACTAATTAGTGGCCGCCTTCCAAGGTGCCCTGACAATCCAGAGTCATTCGTTTTAGCCATCATTAGATCACCATGGAAGCAAATCACCATGTTGCCTCCACTGAAAATGTGACATGATCAGTCATTTAAGGGCAGTTACTAAATCTGTAGGATAGAAAGTGACTTTTTTTTCTTTACAGACCTGTCAAAGCCATCACTTAAAAAACAAGTAAAAAGAAATGTCTCACTTTTAAATACATCACTGCTACATGAGGAGACATTTCCTTAAATAAAACCCAATGTGCATGACTTGATGACATTTGCGTATTTCTCCCTCTTTTCTGTGGGTGACTACAGCTGTATGGTAGATCACAAGTCCCCCACTGCAGGTATCCTCTCAAACCACCCGCTAAAAACGAAAGTGACATTGGGGAGGGTATGTGCTATGGTGAGCACTGTGAATTGTGTAAGACTGATGAATCACAGACCTGTACCTCTGAAACAAATAATACATTATATGTTAAAAAAAAGAAGAAGAAGAAGAAGATAGTAGGAAGGGAAGAATGAAGGGGGGGGAAACTGGAGGGGTAGATGAACCATGAGAGACTATGGACTCTGAGAAACAAACTG